TAGGTGGAGAAAAAAAAAAAAAAAAAAAAAAAAAAAATCAGCATGCTTAGCATGAAGTTCTCTTCCAAGCAGAGTACAAACACTGGGTGGTTACCCCACAGAATAAAGCAGCTATGAAAGATAAGAGAAGATAAGATTTGCTTTTTCTTTAGGCCGACTTAGCTTTCATCTGGACCCACAGGTGTGCACAATGCTGTTCTTTACTAGCCAGCGTCAGTTAAACCTTGCAACATCCACACTCCAAGTGCACAGCTTTGATAGAGACTCGTTTTATCAACACATCCAAGTCTCCAGACACTGAAAATAAGGAGGCTTTAAGCAACAGGCCATCTTGCAGGCTGTAGAAGTGACTTGATTCACTTGTACAAGGAGGTATTTGGAAACTGTTTCACTCCCTCCAGTGCCATTTGTTGTTATACAAGCAGGACTCAATCTTGCCACAAAGCAAAAGTTCCTACAGAAAACAACCGTGGTGCTAAGACCCTTTACCTCCTGCGTGCTCTGCAGATGCAGCCTTCCTGCAAGCTCAGGGCAAAGAAACAGACTATAGGAAGTCATCCTGCACTTGCAGAGGTTAATGGCATATTGTGGCAAGCAGATGTTCCAGGCACTGAGCAAAAGCAAAGACCAAATCAACCATAAAATCTGTTTTAATGTACCATTGACAAGTTCTACGCAAAGCCGCTGTCAAGGATTGTGGCCCAAAATGTGACACAACTTTGCTCTGTTTCTCATACCAGTTTGCAAAGCCCATTCTGGTAGTGAATTTATTTTTACTGAAACAAGTATTTTTTTTTCTCCCGCAGCAACCGAAAATCATGGGAAACCATTCAGGAGCAGCTACAAGAAACTCATCTGGAAGAGTGCAGGTGTGCCAACACAAGAAATGTTTCACTTTCAACTTTCCAAGGGACTGCCAGAGTGAACAAATTAAGCTTCCCAGAAACATGCAGATTAACAAGCCACAGAAATATACATGGTGGTGGCATACTCTTCCTAGACAAGGCTGCATACACAAACTAAGCTCTCCAGTGTGCTTAACTAAAAGATGACCATCATCACCACTCTCACACCACCTGTCCCATGGTGAGCTCTCTAAAATCAGCCAAGGGGAAATACTACTATTCAAGCCAGCACACAGCAGGTAGACAGGACTTTAACATTTCAGTGCTGCACTCAGAATTGAGGGTGCATTTGGAAGATGCTTTTTGTAACATATGCACTGGCCTACGCTAAATCCGGCAACTGTCCCTTGAGGCTAAAATCAGAACTAAAATCCTCATGAATATTACATTCAAGTGAACTAAGGGGCCCTTCCTTACTTGGAAGAAGAAAAGCAGATCCAAACTAACTGGAGTATTTTGAACCCGGGCTCTCAATGGGCAAACAAGGAGACAAGTGTAAGAGTCCAACCACTTCTGAAGCAAAAAAAAGTCAGTCTCTGTGTGCATGTAGCTGGGAAGTGGCTAAACTACAAAGTGAGGAAGAGAAGAGCTGCTGGTCCCGTCCTTGCTCCCCGAGCTTGCAGCAAGGCCTGACGAGCAGTTCCTCCCGGGCCAAACTTTTTGGAGGTGTGACAAGAGCCCCGCCACGGGACTCAGTCGAGGGACATGGCTGGGGCCGCAGCAGCGTGCCCCGCTCTACCCCGCGGCGGCGGCGGCGACCACAGGCGAGGACCAGGACCTGCCGCTAAGGGCACGGACAAGCGGCCGGGCCGGGAGACGAGTGTGCGCAGGGCGCGGGGTCGGGCTGGGCTGGCCAGGGACAGCGGCCCGCCCGCGCCTCTCACGGGGGCACCCAGGGCCCGGCCCG